CACATCCTCCCCCCTACCCCAGGGGCCCATCTCCCTTTTCCAGAAGACTTTGGGCCCTTTACCCCTTTTGTTCTCATTCCACCTGCTCTCTGGTGGCCTCAATTCTGTCTTTTCTAGACTTTTTTTTTTGGTTTAGTTTGGACAGTTCCTTTGTTGTGTTACTCAATATTCCACATGAGTGAAATATCTGATATTTATCGTTCTCCAACTGCATATTTCACCAAGCATAATCTATCTCAGTTCCATCTGTGTCACAGAATGTCAGGAGTTCATCTTATTTTTTTTTTAAGATTTATTTATTTATTCATACAGAACTGGGGTACAGGCCAGCGGTGCAGGGGCGGTGAGAGGCTTCACCAGAGACACAGTGGGGAGCAGAACAGGCAGATCAACGAAGTACACTGCTGAGGGGAGCAGCGGGCAGGCCAGGAGAGGTCTGCCGTGCCATGTGATCACCTCCGGGGCAGGCAGGGATCGAACTCATGCGGAAGTGGCTTAAGCTTCTTAGTGCTGTGCTTTAACCCGCTGCGCCACCAGGGAGGGCCACATCTTAAGATGTGTCATGTGCCACATCTTCTTAATTTAATCATCGGTTATTGGGCACTTAAGTAATTTCCATAACTTAACTTTTATAAGTGCTGCGCTGTGTAGAACTGCATATATCCCTTTGAAACAGATTTTCATTCTTTAAATAAATGCCAGTGAGTGAAATTGATGGACCCTGTAGTGGATCCCTTTTTAATATTTTGAGAAACCTCTATGCTATTTTCCACAGGGGTTGGGCTAGTCTACGCTCCCAACAACCGTTGCCAACATTTGTTGTTTTTGGTCTTGGACTTGGGTCATTTTCATAGGAATGAGATGGCATCTCACTGTGGTTTGGATCTACATTTCCCTGATGATAAGCGATGTTGAACATATTCTCAGGTGCCTTGTATGTCTTTTTTGGATAAGTGTCTATTTAGCTCCTCTGTCCATTTTTCAGTTGGGTTCTTTATTCTCTTTATATTGAGTTGTACAAGTTCTTCATAGATTTTGGGTATTAGCCCCTTGTCAGATGTAGGATGGGTGAATATTTTCTACCATTCAATAGGGTGTCCTTGTTTTAATCATAGTTTCTGTGTGCCCAAGCATTTTAGTTTGATGTTCCACTTGTTTACTTTTGCTTTTATTTTCCTTACTGTTGGAGTTGAGTCCCCAGAGATGTCTCTGAAGTCATATGCTATGGAATGTTTTGCCTCTGTTTTCTTCTATGTATTTAATGGATTCTGGTCTTCACCCAGGTTTTTTAATGCATTTTGTGTTAATTTTTATGTGTGGTAGGAGAGAGTGATCCAGTTTCATTTTGTTCTGCATATGGCTGACCAGTTTTCCCAGCACCATTTATTGAAGAGACTTTCCTTTCCCCCTTGTGTGCTCTTGGTTTCTTTGCATAGATTAACGGATCACACCCATGTTGGTTTATCTGCACTCTCAGTTCTAGTTCATGGTCTATGCGTCTATTTTTAATCCAGTCCCATACTGTTTGGAATATCATGACATTGAAATACAGCGTGAATTCTGGCAGCACGATACTGCCGTTCTCCGCCTATTATGGGGTTGCAGCCAATGTTCTGTTTTAGTTTTATTAATGTTCTTTTTTAGGTTTATTAATGTTGTCATACATTTTGGTGCTCCCTCTTTTAATGCTTATCTATTGATGAGTGTTATATCTTCCTGATGTACTGTTCCTTTAATCATGTAATCCCCATTCCTTTCTCTAGTTATCTTCCTTAGGTGGAACTTTTTTAAAATCTGATACAAGCCAAGTATCATCGTCCCTGCTTTTCTTTGTACTCTGTTTGCCTGTAGGATGGTTTTTGAACCATTCTTAGCTGCAATTTTTTATCTCTAACTATTTTAAATGTCATTTTTTAATTCTTGAGTTTAGGGTTTCCTCAGAGTAGTCAGATGTAAGTCTGATGAGGTTATCACTATAGGTTGTCTGCTTTTTCTCCATAGCCAGGCAATATTTTTCTTTTTTTGAACTCTTGCTAGTTTTAGTATACCATGTGTCTTGGTATAGTTCTTTTTACAGTTAGGTAACCAGTTGTTCTCTTAGCTTCATGGATTTGCATATTTAATTCCTTCCTGAGGTGAGGGAAATTTTTCCTCAATTACTTAATTGAACAGGCTGTGTTCCCCTTTATCTCTCTTCCCATTCTGTGATACTCATTCTTATGTTGGCTTTCTTAACAGTGCTGGTACTTCTCGATTTGTCTCTCTCTCTCTCTTTTCTTTTCCAGCTCCATCCAAGTTGCTGCAAAAGATATGTGTCTCTCTTTTTTGGTTGCTGAGTAATATTCTCTCTCTCTTTTTAAAGATTCCTTTATTCATACAGAACTGGGTACAAGCCAGAGGTACAGGCTTCACCAGAGACAGAGTGGGGAGCAGAATAGGCAGATTGATGAAGTACAGTGCTGAGGGGAGCAACGGGCGAGACAGGAGAGGTCTGCGTGCCATTTGGGTCAACTCCAGGGCGGAGAATAGAACTCGAACTGAAGCAGCTGGGGCCAGCCTGCAGTGCTGCATCCTAACCCTTTGCGCCACCAGGGAGGGTCCTGTTTCTCTTTTTAAACATCGCATTTCTCTGTCTTCTAACCCCTGGATTCATAATACATTATTGCATCCTTAAGGTCATTGATTCAGCCCTCATTTGATCTACTTCATTCCCATATCCTTCTCTTGAGTTTTTGGTCTCATTTGTTGTGCTCTTTATCTCCTGAGTTTCTTTTATTTTCTTCAATTTCTTCTGTTCGATTTTATTTTTCAGCTTATTAATTTGTTGTATTTCTTTGATTAACTTTGCTGAATTCTCTTGACTTGCTTTTCTAAGTTTTCTTCTCTCCCTTGAGTTTATTATAACAGTTCTGCTCTGTTGGATAGGACTTTAGTCTTCCATCTTTTTGTGTTTGGATTCTGGAGAATTATTCTTACCTTGTGATAGTATGTTCTCTTGAGGTCTTTCATTTCTATGTGTTATGTTATGTGTTTCTTTTCCTGTCTGCTCATTTTGCTCTCTGGTGTCTTCCTAGTTTATTAATGTTTTTATATTTTCAGCATTTGCTGAAGGAGTTAAACTATTTTACTGTTCTCACAGCTGGTACTGTGGATTTGTTTGATTTTTATTTTGGCCTTTCCTAGCTTTGTTTATACTGGTATCTATTTTATAGTTACTGGGAGGGAATTCAATGGATCCAGATATTAGCATAAATGAATTAGAGTTTAAGGTACCCCTGATATCCTTCTCTCTGGGGTTTGAGATTAGAGTTAGCATTCCCTGTGTTTTCAGTACACCTGGCAAAATAAACAACTAAACCAGAGGTGGGAAGAGGAAGTAGATCAGAATATTTGTTCCGATGTTAGCTGTATTATGGACCCAGCCTGTGTGGACACCCTAGCTCCCTCATAAGATTATTTCCTCCTTTCAGCATTTAATCAGTGCATCTCCTTTCCTAGTTCCCTGGCTCGGCTAACAACTCTGCTACCAGTTTCCTTTGCTCCAGCTCACAACTCCTAGGTTCCTTTCTCTACCCATCTCTATTCATTATAGTATAAAATTTTTCATTGTTGAACCTGTTGAAGTCTGTACTGGTTTCTGCTATCCAAAGGCTAGTTGCGCTCTCTCCTGTCTCTCAGACCTGTGTGTCTCTGGTTCACTGCTCCATGAGCTAGAGCTAGTGGAGCCTTGGCCCTGCTGCTGGTCCTCCTGGCTTGCAGCTGGACTGCCACAGCTGGTAGCTGTGGCTAGATCTGGAAGTGGCAGTATTCTTCCAGTTGGAGGCCAGGATTCTGCAGTTAGAAACTGGAGGTCGAGAGGAGTCTGGCTCTTGCACTGCTGGCTGAACTCTCACAATTAATGATGAGGAGCTTCCTGGCTTTCACTTATAGATCTAGGGGATAGAGGCTGGGCTTCAGCAGTTGGTAGCTGGTGCCTAGAAGGGCCTAGCTCTTGCCACTGGCAGCTAGAAGTTGGGAGCTGCCTCGTTCTCACTCATTCACCTAGTGGATGGAGCTTGCGGAACGAGGCTGTTGTATCCTGGCTCCCTTGACTCACCTGGAGACTGGGAGTGGCCAGTTTTTGTTAACCTAGCTGGTGGCTGAAGGCTGGACTCCCATGATAGGTGACTGGAGACTGGGAGTAGTCTGGCTGTCATGGTTGGTGATTGGGAGGCTGGTTCCCTTTTGGATATAAAATACTGGACACCCCAGCACCATGTAAGAATAGTAAGAATAGTAATCAGAGGAAGACAATTATTTTCTGAAGAGGGTGTAATGAAATTGTTACTTTTAGAATGCAAAGTAAATACAATGACTTGTAAAGAATTTTTAACTGATTCATTTCAGTGTCTAGTAATTAATAACTGTATTAGAAGTTACAGTGCCATATAATTTTAGGTTAATCGATCATGAAGTAGACACTGAACGATTTCTCACGAGGTTGATTTTGAGGATATTTGAATCCCCTGGCTATATACTTTGTCTATTTTTTTTTTTAAAGTTAGCAAATCTGGCCCTCCCTGGTGGCGAAGCCGGTTAAAGCACAGCACAGAGAAGCTTAAGCCACTTCCGCATGAGTTTGATCCCCGCCTGCCTGCCGGGGAGGTGACCACATGGTGTGGCAGATCTCTCCTGACCCGCCTGCTGCTCCCCTCAGCAGTGAACTTCGTCGATCTGCCTGTTCTGCTCCCCACTCTGTCTGTCTCTGGTGAATCCTCTCACCCTCCACATCTCTGGCCTGTACCCCAGTTCTGTACGAATAAATAAATAAGTCTTTAAAAAAAAAAGGAAGAAAGAAGTGAACAGTTGAATGATAACTCTTATTATTCAACATAACTTGTATTTGTGGAAGACAAGTTCATCAAGTTATTTTAAAGAAAAACAAGAGTGTGCTAAATGTAATTTATTGAGAGCTCCAGAATTGTGAAAATATCCCTAACTAAAGTTTGTAACTTCTGCAGGTAATCGCTCTAGCAGATGCAGTAGAGGAAAACCAAGACAATCTGTTCCAGTCATTCACCAGACTGAAAAGTGCCACCCATTTGGTGATTCTGCTGATCGGTTTGTGGCAGAAGCTTAGTGCCGACCAAATTGCTATTCTGGAAGCAACATTTCTGCCACTGCAGCAGGACACTCAAGAACTGGTAAGGACCCACAAGTCTGAGTGGTAACAGACAGCATTATTGAAAGGATTGTGGTTTTAGGAAGATATCACATGGCTATCATGTTTGCTAAGGTATCAAATGAAGGCTTTTCCCCAAAATCCTGTTTTCCTTTTCTTTAAGCCATTATAAAAATGTCAAATAAAGGCCTTTTTTTTTTCAAGACTTATTTTAAGAATAGTTATATAGTCCATTTTTATGTGGTATTCAGTCTATTTTTTATGTGCTCTTCAATCACTTAGAAGCCAGGGAAGCAATCATTTGACTGCCTAAGTGATGGCAATAAACCTTCAGATTAGCTAATCCTTTCCTTTTCTGCCAGAGAAAACAGTTTGACCACTTTAATTTGCTTAGTGTTCTTAAATTTAAATGTGACTTCAAGGGTTAGAGAGAACTGAGATAAATGACAGGAATATTTTTTCATTGTTGTCTATTGTCCTTTATATATACTTTTTAAATTCTTTGGCCTCTGAACAGGCCATTTTCAGAACAAATGGGGCAAAATGAGCCTTGGTGTGTGGGACTGTCAGTGAAGGATTATTCATGTAAAGATATCTCAGATCCCTTGAATTATAGCAGTCTATATGAACAGCAGGTGTTATGTTGGGGAACTTTTTGCAAAATTTATTTATAAAGAAGTATCTTGGAAACAAATTCATTTTTAATGCTGAAGGAAATCGTTTCAAGAAAAAAGTGATTTCAAATTCATTTTTAGACATAGATATGAGAACATGGTACTAAAAATAATAGTACTAAAACTAACATTTTTGAGTACTTACTAGGTACCAGGAGCTATTTTAAGTATTTTGCTAGTATGACATCATTTAATTGTAATCATGGCCCTTTAAGATAATTAAATTACTGTTTTCATTCCCATTTTATATGTGGGGAAACATAGTCTTTGAGAGTTAAGTACCTTTATGAAATTAGTTGTCTGTAGAGGCAAGATTTGAACTGAGAGGTCTGACTATTACTGAGGCACAGGTATTTAACTGGTATACTGTATTTTAGTGAACAGAGTTATGAATATGATTTGAAAATCACAAGCTTTGTCAGTTGAGTCTAATTTTCAACAGTTCAGTCAAAGGAATATCAGATTAAAAAAAGATTAAGCTCTATCCTACACCCTAAACAAAATACTATTTATCAGCCTAGATAAAATATTCATATGGAAGCAAGAGATTTGCAGTGCATATTTTTTTAGATAGAAAGTTACAGATAAAATTGGCCTTTGAGAAACTAGAAATTGGGACATGTTAACAGAAAATGAAGACTACAATGGCTAAGGTTACATTAATAAGTGGTACTATCACGTAGGAGTTCAGATCTAGTAGTCAAAAAGACATGGGTGTTTCACTTTTTGCTTCCATCACTGGACCCATCCAATAAGCTGCAGTAAGAGTTAAATAAGATAGTTAAATAGTATGCTGACTGTTTTGAGTCATTATTAAAAGTAGTTTATATATTTTATGTAAGTTAATTAAAGCCTAAAGTCATGCAAGGTAGATATTATTGCTTTTTCATGGTTATTTATCTGCTTCCTAGACTACAATTGAGGTCAGGAAATATATCTTACTCATTCTTACATTCTTAGGGCCTGGCACAGTGCCTGGCCAAAATGGAGTCAATATTTGTTGGGTGAATGAAAGGAGGGAAGTGTGAAAGCTAACAAGAGGTGACTTGGTGAACAGATGCAGTTGATATAATCTAGAACGTGAGGGAGTAGGATAGGGCTAACTATATACTTTACAGCACCCATTGCACAATAAAAATACAAATCCCTTATTTAAAAATGTAAGAAAAAGTGCTTTAACACTATTAAAATAGGTACTATGTTTTACTTCCTGCATTTTCTCTTTCATCATGTTTATTTGCTATTTTATGTTCTAAACACTGAAAAATTAAAATTAAAAAATTTTAGCCTGGATTTTACCATGAATATTTTAAATTTGTAGTGCCATTTTTAATACAAATATAATAATATTAAATTCATATGTGGATTAATAAAATTATACAATTTGTATTTCATAGTTCATACATATATACATATTTTACCCTTATGGAACGGTGGAGTTCCTGTACAAAACTTAACCTTCTTTATTTCACGTCCTAATATGCACACATCTAACGCTCTTTACCCTCAGCTAACTGATGAGTAAGAGCTGAAAGGAAATGAAGCCCTATGCCCCTCTATCTTTCCTTTTTTCTGGTTATCTTTTTAGCATAAGTGGTGGATAATATGGGGAAATAACAGGAGATAGAAAGGTTATCATGAACTTCCTTAATCAATCATGTTTCTTTGAATCTATCCTTCCCTCAAAACAAGTTGTGATTCAAAGGGAGTGCCTCTTTGGACTCTAGTGCCCCCTGCTGAGTCAATCTAGAAGTCACATAACTTCCTTCTCCTGAACTCCCACTCACTGTGGGGCCACGGACCTTCTGAGCTCATGGTAGCGTGAATGAGACAGACAGGAAGGAGGATGCATTTTCCCTGCTCACTTACATGCTTCGTTGTCTCATATTTAATTTACAAAATACAAGTTCAAACTAAAATTATAAGAATTTCAAGATGGCAACAAAAGACTAAACCAAGCATGGGATCCCCATGAACAAAGGGCCTATGCAGACTGAACAACTCACATTTTCCTGAAGGGGTTCCCGAAGCCCAAGACCAAAAGGGAGAATTTCCTCGAAATAAAGCTTCGCAAGTGTAGGCATTGAGTCCCAAAAGGGATTATGGTATTTCTAACTCCAGCTCTTCTTAAAACAACTCATTTTGCTGGGAATAGATAAATATGTTCATCCCTGTGGGCAGGTGAATGGATTTAACATCTCAAAACCCCCTTCTACCCTACCTTCTGCATTCGCTGTTGTCATATCTCCCAAAACACAGAGAGGAGAATTCTTCCTGCTCTCTCTGAATTTGGTGAGATTAGAAGGTGTGTATACTTATTATGTCTATTGAAGTCATTAACGAGACAGGACATTTGATAAAAACATAACTTGGAGAAGAATGAATCAAAAAAGACATTTTAATACTGCTTGTTATGCTCTTCGTCTTTAATTAGGTTGTGGTATTCATTTTGGATTTATACTGTTGAGACAGCTTATATATCTTGAGAAAAAAGGAATCCTTTTTCATTCTTTAAGACGTATGCATGCAGTATGTGGTTTTGACATGCTAGTTCACAATCCCTCACATTATGCCTTTAGACCTCACAAATAAATGTTATGTGATGGGTATCCCACTGAGATGTGAAAGTGAAATATGCAAACCTGAAATAACTTGGAAGGAGGGTGAGGCAGGGAAGAAAGGAGTCTCTGACCAGAAAGTTGAAAATATATCCCATATTGAAGTTATTATGATACCACAAAAATCTGAATGTAATTTAGACAGTTTGGTTGAGGGTGGATGGCAGAGTACATGTGTGAGGGGGAGATCTTTAGACATGTGGACAATATTTTCAGAAGAAGTCCTCTCAGCTCAAGGTTAGATATCCACACAAGTGTTGAGAGGTATAAGAAAGTGCTACTTTATTTATGTTTCAAGCAGTGTGTCATGGTTTGGTGTATTGTTATTTAGATGGCATGTGTCAAAAGGCAGGCTAAATGCTATAGTCAACTCTGTAATATTTTCTTTAAGGGCATCTGAGTCACAAAGCAAAAGTATTTAGAATTTATTATTGCTAATGAAAAATTATGTACATTAAAAATGTCATCCCATGGTAATACTCATCTATGGGATATAAAGAAAACAAACAAATATGTTAAAATCGTCTAAGATGGTAGCCAATTTCATATCTAGCTACTTATATTGAAATGTATATAACGTTAAATAGAATTAAAATTTCAGTCTCACTGGCTGTATTTCTGTTGCTCAATAACTGCATGTGTTGAGTTGCTACCGCATTGGACAGTATGGATAGAGATCATTTTTACCCTTGTAAAATGACGGGCTGTATCCGTCATTAAGAGACAAAGTTTTGTCATTTGGGTTAACACAATCAGCACATTTTAACAAGTTAAGAAAAGTGCAGACTGACTTTCAGTTAGGCCATGGTTTTTGTTTTAGCATCCCTTATTTCCAGTAGTCTGGGGCCACCAGGGTCCAAATACCATAACTGGATGTTCTCTGAGGAACAAGAAACTTTTTTTATAAGAGCTACTTGTTGACGCAGATGAACTGCTGAGTGTAGTTTTGAAGTATAACCTTTTATTATTATTATTAATTTTAATAAAAAACCACCATTTTACATCCTTGTACTATTTTGACAGTATGGGATTTCTCTCCATAAGTATGGTCAACATAGCTCTCCCACCACTCAAGTACTCATAGTCCTCCAACATAGTTCCATGTGTTCTTCCCCCACACATCCCCTATACACCCCTCAGTGCCTCCTGCCCTGGCTGCCTCAGATGAATGGTCAACTTTCAAGGGTTGGTTTTGAAGTTTGTTTTTGTCTGACCCTTTGTTTGTTCTCTTTATACTCCACATGTAAGTGAAGAACCTTTGGGGGAAGTGAATTCATCTACTAAAGACAGGCACTAGAGCTTCTTCTGCTTATAGGATCTTCGTAAACATTGTAACTCAGGAAATCTTTCCCAGTGAGCTTGCAGGGCAGTCTCAGAATCCTTTGAAATACAATAAACTAGGTAGCCAAGTAACTAGGTAAACTAGGTAACTTAGAGCTGGTAGGTGGGCAAACCCTCTTTTCCCTTCCTGACCTCTGTACACATCTGCTTCTCATTTTCCTTTTAACATCTTAGGTGGTTAAGATTCCTTAATAGAAAGTCCAGCAAATTGCAGGAGAACAAGCAAAAACAGTGTTGCTATTTCTAAATGACTATCTTAGACTTTATTTCTAATGTTCATTTATTTGCCTTCCACCTGACTCAAGGGATCTCCAATGAAAAGGGCGGCAGTGCTCTGGTTTGGGACCTGAGTATATACACAACTAGCACTGAAAACAAATTAACACATT